CCTGTTGTTGTCGGGTTTGCGACACCGTCACCGCCATGGAGACAAAGTAGTCGTGGAAAGCCGCTGAAGTTGGGAACGGCCCAGGCGGCGGCGCCCCAGCCATGGTGCACCCGCGAAAGACCTCGTCCCGCAGCGGTCCGTTGTCCACGCTCCCTGTGTGCCCGCCACGTCAGCACAGAACATCACCATTTTCAAATCTTTGAAGTTGATCCCAGCAACGTACCAACAAACCCAACACCCCCCAACCTCAACCGCCTCCACGCCCGCACCACCTCCCTGAGCTGGACACACACACCCTCCTTCTCACCCTCACTCATCCGCCCCCACCGCTCCTCCAACACCTCCTCCCCCTCCGGCAGGTCCATATACACAAACCTCTCCCCCGTCCCCGCATCCCGCCGCCACCCAAATACCTCTGGCACCGGCAGCAAGACCTCACCATTTCCTTCCGATGATGATGATGATAAAGATGATGCAAGCGCCCGACGCAACAACATCATCGCCTTGCCCTCGGCAGCCGACACGCCCGGACCGAACTTGACGAGCAGTCCCAGCGCGGGGAACGGGACGAGCTTGGCGCCGTTGCTGCCCGGTCCCTCATTGGTGGTGGTGGTGGAAATCCCCAGCCGGGCGGCCTCGTCGCGGACCTGTGCCGGTGTGGGCAGGTCGGGGGTAGGAGTAGTAGTTGAATGTGAAAAAGCTGTAGGCAAGGGGGAATGGTGGTGGTGGCGGCGGCGGGTGAAGAAGGAGGAGTGGGCGAATATGACGTTGTCGCCTGGTGGGAAGAGGGGGGTGATGGTTATGGGGTCGGGGTGGTTGGAATCGGGGGAGGCATGGTGGGTTCTGGGTAGTGTTTGTGGATGTGGATATGAATGTGGTGGTGAGGAGGAGGGGGGTTGGTGTTGAGTTTGCGCGGGGGCAGGGGAGGCCGCCGTGACGGCGGTTAGGGTGAGGCTCGCGAGGGAGTCGGATAGGGCGTGGAACGGGTCGTTGGTGGTGACGAGGAGGTCGTGGTTGCGATCGGGGTGGGGTGGGAAGATGGAATGATGATGGGTCGGGTTGGCGAGCATCGTGTCTGTCGTCGGGTATCCTACTCAGATAGACGCGGATAAATCTGATGTGGTCATTGGTGATCTCAATCGAAGATGAAGAGAGACAACACCAAACCTTGGACTTCAAGAAGAGTTTTGGAAAGGGAGGAGATCGGGGGTGGTGGATTTGAGATTGGGCACCACTCGAGAGGCGCTAAGAATGCTGCCCAACCAGGGGCAAATCTTGCGGCGTGCATTAGGTCACAATTCGAGCAACCACTGGCCTGTAAAACAATTCAAGATCCGCCCTGGAGTTGTCTCTATTTAGTGGGCTTTGTCTCATATTCCTCCGTCTCCTTCAACTGGGTTGTCAACATGCTTCCCAGTCCCTCACCTTGACCACACATCAACGCGGTCTCGGGGAGACACTGCCAGTCATATCCCGTCCATGTTCAACCAATGCCGCTGCTGCCAACACCCACTTGAGCCCGAAAAGCCCATCGACAGAAGCGTGAATGCCATACCATAAATTCCCACCTCTTATCACCTCTACTGATCTCCAAACGCCCAACCCAGTATGCTGGTTGATGATTGATACAGCACAAAACCAAGACTCGGGATCCCAAGCAGCACCAGCCACATTACACCCCCCGTCTGATCCACCGGACCCATCAGATCACTTCTTCAACTTCTTCGCCTCCTCCTCCCTCTCGCTGAACCGATCCCCAAACAGGTGAAAGTGCGGCCGCATGACAATCGTGTACTTGACAAACTCCTCCATGCAGTCGACCAGGCGGTCCCGGTTCGAGCTCGGCCTGAGCCGGCTGCCGCCCTCGGCCGGGTCGCCGGCATCGGTGAAGTGCGTCCAGGCCTGCGGGACGGAGCTCTGGTTCGGTATGGCAAACATGCGCATCCAGCGGCCCAGGATGCGCAGCGAATTGACCGCGTTGAACGACTGCGACCCGCCGTTGACCTGCGCCATGGCCAGCGTGCGGCCCTGCGTCGGCCGCACGCTGCCCGTCGAGAGCGGGATCCAGTCGATTTGGTTCTTGAACACGCCCGTCTGCCCGGGGGGGGAGGGGGGACGGGGTTATTTAGTTAGGCCACGTATGCTTGAAAAAAGGGGGAAGTTGGCTCACCAGGTTGCCGTGCTGCTCGGGAGACACCCACACGTGGCCGTCGCTCCACTTGCTCAGCTCGCGGAGCTCCTGCACCTTGGGATGGTCGTGCTGCTGGTCGTCCTTGACCGGGAGGCCGGACGGGTCGTACACGCGCACGTCGCAGCCGAGACGGAACAGGATCCGGGAGGCTTCGTAGGCAAGGAGCTTCGAATATGACCTTGAGGGGGGTTTGTCAGCAATGTGCACAGCAAGAATGGCGGTATTTTGAGGTGTTTTCATAATTACCGCGTCCTGAGACTCCCGTACAGAACGAGGACCCTCAACCGGTCCTTCCCCTGGGACAGGATCTCTGTCTCGACCATCTTGGCCGCCGTGGCCAGTTCGAGCTTCGCGATCCAGTCGGAGGTTGAGATCTCGTCATCCAGCAGGAATGGGCGATACCGCTGACGCACTGCAGGGTCGTCATCGAGAGCTGTGACGGCAAACGAGCGAAAACGATACTCTGGGTCGACAACCGACCGGAGGTGCTCCCTCACTGCTAATGTGTTGTTGAGGTCTCCCATTCTTGTCGGGGTGAGAATAGATGGTGCCGCTTGTTGAGACAAGGAGCGCCGGGCGGACGAAACGAGTGTGCCCCTGAGAATCCGGAGTGAGAGCATGGACTAAAGGTCGACTGGAAGCCTGATAATAGCGATTGAGTTGGACTGCGAGGGAAATAATGATTATCAAGTTGACCGGAACGATGGAAGGATACTTCAAGTAATGGGTTCTCCGTAGGCTGAACGTCCGGGTGAATTGTTGAAGGCCACTGTGTCGATACAGTATATGTGAAGTACCAAGGTACTTTATGCTGGGATTTTCGGAGATGTGCCAAGCGTGTGGATCTTCAAGGAGGTCACTGATCGAAGACGATTGGATGCGACGCAGCCTGCCGGAAGCAACAGGTTGCTTTGAAATACTTAAAGGACGGCAACTGGTCGGTGACCACTGTGACACTGGGAATGAGCTAGAAGCTAAACACATCACGGCGCAGTCTGCTTACAACAGGTATTGGTTGCAAATTTTCGTCCAATGGCGCTTGGAGTGAGGCTGAGATCAGGAAGATGCCTTGGGATGGTGAGGCACGACAAGCCGCAGTGACAGAATCAATCGACCCTTCTATACGCCGCCAACACCTCGGTATGCCCGCCAGCAAGACCTTGGCGAGATGCCCTCACAACGCCCCAGAGTTGTCAAGAAGCTGAAACAGCACCGTGTTTTTGACGAAACACTCCTCGGATCCCGAGCACCCCATCGCCTCGCGCGCCCTCTCCTCGTTCCCGTCCCGGTAAATGTTGGCCATGATATGGGCGGCAGCGGTGCACGACATCTCCAAGTGAGACCCCGTCGTCGCCGCCGAGGGGGAGTCTGTTGAGTCTGGCATTGGAGACTCGAGAGATGGTGCCCCGTCGCGGCCGCCACACCCTCCGTTCGAGGTCGGCTCGGTTCTTGGTGGCACATGTCCCTCGACCGCTCCGTCGTCGACGGGAGTGCATTGTGTGGTAGGCCCACAGCAGGTTTTCCGAACGTCGCCGACGCCACCTCCACCCAGCGTTGGCTCGGCTCTGGATGATACATGCCCGCTAACGAGTCCGTCCCCGGCGGGAGTGCACTGCGTGGTAGGCCCGCAGCATGTTTGCCGTATGCTCGCATCGGCAACGACAGCGAGCGTGTCCAGAGCGGAGATAGGGTGGTTGGACGGGTAGCAGACACTAGCGGATTCATCGAACCCAGCGCTGTCGTCAGCCGGCGATGGTTGAGCTGATGATGGTTGGCCCGTGCTGTTTGTATGTGGGCTCGGCTGGGAGGCGGCCATTCCTGGCTCCCCGCCGTACGGGCCGCTTGAGGAGTGAGCGCTGTATGATGATTCTCGGTCGTTCTGATGAAGCTGACTTTGCCGCGGGCGGTGTTGGTGTAACGGCCCGGGGTTGGGAACCTCCTGTGGACGCGACGCCAACGCCATTGTGGGCACATCTGCCGACGGCTGGCTATCAAACGATGCCAGGTACTGGTCGACTTGCTCGCTCGTGACGCCGCGGGAGCTAAGAAGTGCGCGCAGCCGCGAATTCTCGATGGCCACGCGGCGGGCCGCCTGTCGCATTTCCAGTGTTGCCTGAACCCCTTGGCGCTCATACTCGCGAACTCGGGCCTTTAGTTCCTCAATGAGTTCACGCCGCCGCGCTCGGCTGCGCCGCTGGTTATCGCGGATTCTGGCGGCCGAATCGGCATCTTGCTGCTTCTGCAATGTGTGATGTCAGTCACCAATTGGCGATGTCGGGGTTTGACACAGTTCCATCTTGCGAGCCCTGAAACCGCACTGGCCAGGATTACATACATACCTTGTCGGTAACCATCCCCATTGTTAGTGAGATATCGTGTTACCTCGAGTGGTTAGTCAATAGATAACCGCAAGATGACTTCATGGAACTTCTCACTTGAGATTTTGTGAGAGCTGAGCGCTCGCGAGCCTTTCGGATCTCGGTGGCAAATTAGGAAGTGGATACTGCACATCCCGCAAAAATTCTGTGGAGTTGTTTGTGATCGTAATTACAGGAGATCCGGCCACAGAGGAGTGAAATGTATTGTACTGTTACCGTCCACAACAAGATGTAATGACAAGTTTTGTGTGCTCGGCTGATGTCGGTTGTTGTTCTCAATGATGAAGGCACAAGATGAAGAGAGTCTCTTGCAACCGCCGTCAAATTTGCGCGAAGCGAAATGCAGGAGGGCGCTTTGAAAGGTAGGAATTTGAGGGATAACTATTGTAATATAAATATAGAAAGAATTATTACTACATTTAAACTTGTTTGGGCGTATGGTCTAGTGGTATGATCTCTGTTTTGCAATGAAATATCTGCTCTACAGATGGTCCCGCGTTCGATCCGCGGTACGTCCAATTACTTTTGCACCACTATTGATGTTTTTGTCTTCGTCTATCATACCTCTCCTTTTCGGTCACCTCACTGATATTCATTTGCGATAAGAGTAAATCGTTTGGACGGCTGTTTCAATCGACAATGATTTGGTTCCAAAACCCAATCCTCGAAACGGACTAACAAAACGTCACTCACCTTTAGATAGATGGATGCTTTGGGGTTTGTGTCTTGTCGTCTCTGCTGGTACTCCGGTGTATCACCGCCACAGCCTTCAATTGCCAAATCACACTCAAGTCTTCACTCTGACGGTGAGATGCCTGTTTGCTGCAGAATATCATCAATTTTCTTCGCGATGCTTCATAAAGTCTATGGATAAACTTGTTGATAGGTACCTTAGTGCCCATGCCACTCAATCCATGGAGAAGGCCAATCATCCCGTTGTACCATCATTGCAATACTGAACTTCAAGTTCTTGGAAAATCCCCATCCGTGTCTCGGGGCTTCTAACACGCCTGAGCCACAACCAATTGCTAACGAAACCCTAACCATCATGTCGTGAAAGCCAAACCCATGCGCCTGGTATCATTCCTAACTCCCAAGTCAAATCCCAAACGCCTTTTAGCAAGTCACCCGCTTCACGCGCAATCCATCGCGTCACCCAAATCCCCCTCCATCCTCTCCTGCCTTTGCTCCCCGCCCACTTGAGCCCCGCGCTCAACCTTCGTCCCCTTGCCGACGTCGCCCTCCACCTCGACCGACCTCCGGCACATGGGGCAGGTGCCATGCAGCTTCAACCACGGCACGACACACTCTTCGTGGAAGAAGTGGTCGCACGGCAGCACGGCCGCCTTGTCGCCCTTGACCATGTCGTCCACGCACACGACACACTTGGCCTTTCCGTCTTCAGAACCGGCCCCCACCAGCATCTTCTCGTCCACCTCTCTGGTCCGCAGGCGACCGAGCGCGGCCTGTGACGCGGGCGGCGCTCCGCCGGGCGGCACCTGGTCGCGCAGCTGGGTCATGATGCGGTCGAACGCCTCTTGCGAGTAGACTGCATCGCCGTAGATGGCAGCGGCGGCGGGGTTGAAGAGGGAGGTCATCAGCGAGGTGATGAAGGAGACAGGGCTACCTGCGGGCGGGGCGTCGGCTGGAAAGGGGCCGATTGGCGGTGGTTGTTGATGCAGGTGGCTTTCGCTGGGTTGATGCGGCTGGGTGGTGCTGGCGTGGGTGTTATTGTTGTTGTCGGTGTTTGCTTCTCCGCTCGATGTGGTCGGAGGGGTGTTGTTGGCGGTCGGGGGAGGGTCCATCGGGATCGGGTGGAAATGCATGGTGTAAAAGGCCGGTGGCAGCGGCGGGTTCAGGGCCGAACTCGGGGCAGAGCTGGTCGTGACAAAGGTGAAGGTGAGTTGTGGCACGAAGAAGTGGAAAGTACTCCCCCTGCGCCTGCGCGGAGCATCACCATTGCCCGAGTTGGTGGTACCGGTTGAGCTCTGCGTGTTGTTGTTCAAGGGAGTGTTGGTGTTCGCAGGCGGAGAAGCCGTTGTGGAAGACTCGCTCGCGCCGTGGGCTCGTGGGGCAGGAGCCGGCTCAGGATTAGCCATAGCGGCGGCAGGGGTAGCGATGCTCGAAGCGGTTTCCTGCGCAGGCTGCCGGTTGTGGAAGTGGCGTGGGTCGTTTGCGAGGTCGATCTTTGAGATTGTTAGCTCTTCCGTCCCGCTTTGCGAAGGCTCGTGCAGGTGATGTCGTACAATTTCTGTAGATGCGCTCCTGCATGCCGGGCATTCGATGCTCTCGGCGTTCCCTTGCCACTGATGATGGCAGGCATGGCAGTACATCGTCTCTTGGTCGCGTCTGGCGCGGTCGGCCATTGCGGTTTAAGGTGTTCGAAGCCTCGAAGTAACGAAAGAACCGTTGTTGGGCGATGAATGGAAGAGTGTCGCAAAAGAGGGCTGCTGCAACGTGATCCTGCACTTGCAGCAGGACGAAAAGCTTCGGCTGGTTGGAGATTGAGGTTTGTGGTGCAAAATCGATCGGACGGGGCTCTGAAGCGCAATGCTCTGATAAATCATGGCCACGCCCCGCGGCGGCGCCATGATGCCCAAACGTGACCGCCTCGGCCGCTTGCTTCCCTTGTTTCTGGAAGATGCCATTCCCTCCTGACACATTCTGAGAGCTTCGAGTGCTTGCTGTGGAGACGGGGCCAAGGACGATCCACAAATCAGGGTCGAGCTCGCAGCATTGAATTGATTGGTCGGCTTTTCAGTATCCCCCTGTACGTCATGGCCGCTGATACGTACCTTACCGATGGTGGGGTATCCCTGGCAGCTCTCGCGTTCCGCTCACGTGGCTTGAAACCTGCTTACCACAATATTTCAGGGAATGGCAAGGACTGATCACCTCCATGTGAAGGTGCCAGAAGAAGTGACGGCGGCTATTAACCGCAGCGTGCGCCTTCATCGAACCTTGAGTCTTCTATCGGAGACAAAAACGACACCGTATGTTCTCACCTCCTAAGGTACTACTGCAGGCCCATCTGCATTACCAAGTGAGCCTGGATTGCCAACGTTGGTGTCTGGGTTGTTGGTTGATATTTCATGTACACAGTGAGCTCTTCGACATGTTTCGCAGAGTATGTCAAGCAAAAGCTTCGCCAAATTCATCAGGATGGTCCACAGTCGCCGGGTTCCGAGTTCGATTTGGAGGTGACGCGTCCCTTTTCTCTCTGCTAAGGTTGACAGCGAATCAACGGGCCGTCAGTGAGCCAACCGAGCAATGCCAAGACCACACTCGCCACACCACTTCGCCCTTGATGACGAGTCGGGTCATCAATGGGCGGTCGACGGCCGCCATCAAAGGTGTGCTAGGTACTTCTTCTGTGTTGTTGTTCCTGCTGAATTCATCTGTAGAATCTATGTATTGTTCCAACGTTGCACTTCAGGCGCCTCGTCTAGCAGCCATATCCCAACTTGCATTCCCCCCATTGAGCCATTGACTCAACAACTCACAAAAAGCGCCGTGAAGAGCCAAAGACACAAGTCATAGACTATCACCACCTCCTTCGTCAAGATGGCCCCTCGACAAAAGCCAGAACGGTCCGAAACACCCGCCATCTCCGACCAACCACCCCCCTACGAAGCCTCTATCCATCATTATCCCAACACGGTCAACGCCAACTCAGCCCCCTCCCCCACCGGCCCAACCCGCCCAACAACCGTCATCGCCAATCCCCCAGCCTCTCCCAAAAGAATGGACGCCTCCCCGCGCAACAGCAGCACTCTCTCGGCCGACTCCAACGCGCCCCTGGATCCGCAGACGGGATGGCAGCAGCAGCCAAACTTCCAGTACTGCTCCCCGCCGCCGATGCACCGCCACCCAGACAGGGGCGCCCGCAGCAGCAGCAGGGCGCCGTGGAAGAACGGTGACGACATGGAGGGCCAGGCCGGCTGCTGCTTCAGTACCCGCGGTGGTTGCTGCTTTAGTGATCGCGGTGGGTGCTGCTGTAGTGACAGGGGCGGGTGTTTCTTTTCGGATCGGGGCGGGTGTTGCTTTGCGGATAAGGGGGGGTGTTGTTGTTCTTGATACCTAAATGGTACCTTGAGGTAACTGCAGTGGGTTGTCGGGACTTAGAAGGGGAGTTGGGGCTGTGTTCAGGAATGGTCATCAGGTTTAAAGGTGGTACCTTGGTTTGGGCCTTGAGGGCTGGGTACGCTCTGCTCGATCAAACACTGCTGTACTCGCCTGTGCTTGGTGTCCGGAGTTCCAACGCGGGCTGCGGACTACTCCCTCATGGTTGTTGGAATCCCAAGGTTTCTGCTTGGTGTGAACGTTGTTATATGAGGTGTAGAGACATGATGATGTGTATGACTCACTTTTAGATATCTACCTTACTCAAACTAACACCTTTGCTAGCATGGATTCTGGTCAAGGAACTCCATCAAAGTGTTGATGTCTTGGTGCCCTTCTTCCCCAAGTCACCTACCAAATCAGCGCGACTCTGGCTATTCGCTGGCCCGAACAACACTGGGAAAGAAGCAAATGAACGGCTAGGGTGGGCATTGCTATCTTTGTAGTTTTTCTATTTTTACTTGCTTTGCAGGACATGTTGAGGTCTCACACCCCTCGCGAAACCCTCCTTTCTATCCGCGTCTTCTCGTCTATCGGGAAGTCGTTCCCTCCCACGGGCGGTAGATCGCCAAACGTGGGCCGCGTGAAGCGGTTGTACGCAATAAAGGTGTCGCTGTCGCCCACCGTGGCATTCACCGGGGTCGGCACGCGCAGCGACAGGCGGCGGACCTCGATGGCGTCGTCGGTGATGGGCTTGACGCCGTAGTACTTGTAGACGGCGTTGAGCGAGGGGATGGACAGGCCGTGCACGACGATGGAGAAGAGCACGAGCCAGTAGACGACGGGGATCATGGCGCGCACCAGGGCCGTCTCCTCGGCGTCGCCTTCGCCGAGCTCGGGGAAGAGGTGGCGGGTGTGCTCGACGTAGAAGACGGCGCCGATGCCGATGGGACCAAAGTAGCCCATGAACAGGGCCTCCTTCCAGTCCTTGCACACCTTGGGCATGAACTTGTACATGGCGAAGATGGCCGGGATGCGGCGGAAGACGAGGACCAGGCCGCCGAGGCCGATGAGGCGGCCGATGGTGATGCCCGTGAGCTCGGGCTGGTGGAACTCGTTCCACGGGATGATGCTGCCGATGTACATGAAGCCGCCAAAGTTGAGCAGCACGTCCACGCACGAATTGACCTCGTCGTGGCGGTCCTCGGTCTCGCGGAGGTACTCGCCGTCCCAGTTCATGGCGTTGCCGGCGACGAAGCAGGCAAGGAGATCGTCAGTGCCGAGCATGCCGCAGACGCCCACGAGCCAGAGCTGGTGATGATGGTCAGCACAAATCTCTCTTCAACTTCTCGAGCTTAACTTACACCAATGGCGGTAGGATACAGCAAGTAGCTCTCCGAGTCCACCCACTTCCTGCCAAAGGGTCAGTATAACAGGCCAGCCGGGGATGTGAAAC